CACTCTGCCAGCCCCATAGGGGTTGGGCTGCCTGGGGTCAGCGGGCAGTGGGGGAAAGGTTGGCAAGGGATTCTCTGCTGGCACGTATGGGGTTGTGATCCGCGTCCGTCTGTCCCTCCCTCCCCTTCTCTTTGCGTCTCCCCTTTCAGATGTCGCAGCTGTGCTTCCCCCGTGGGGGCCGGACCCTCTTGGGGGTATGGAGGCTTCGTTTTTTGTTGACCCCCCCCGGATCCGTGCGTTCTGCCAGCTGCCAGCCCATCCGCAAAGTGCTGGTGGCCAACCGTGGTGAGTGGTTGGCTTCCGTGTCCCCTTTGTCCCCCCTTCTTCCGTCCCTCCATTGTCCCCTGGGCTCCCTTATCTCAGCTGGGTCCCTTCCATCCCTGGGTCCATCATCCCTTCCATCTCTGGGTCCCTTTTTGTGCCATCTCGTCCCCATCCCAAGCACAGCATCCCCAATGCGTGTCCCTGTCCTTCTGTTCTGATGTCCCCCATGTCTGCACATCTCCATCCCATATACAGGCATCCCCGTGTCCCCATCCCCACGTTCAGGTCCCACACGGGGTTTCTCATGTCCCCACATCCCCATTCCATGTGGGATGTCCCAGTTCTGTCCCCATGGCTCTGTCCCATGCAGGACATCCCAGAGCTGTCCCTATTTCCATGTTCCTACATCCGCATCCTATGCAGGATGTCCCAGTTCCGTCCCCATCTCCATGTCCCAATCAGGGCAACCCAGAACTGTCCCCATCTCCTTGTCCCCACATCCTCATCCTATGCAGGATGTCCCAGTTCCATCCCCATCTCCCTGTCCCATGCAGGGTGACCCAGAGCTGTCCCCATATGGGATGTCCCAGGACCATCCCCATGTCTGTCCCAGGCAGGACATCCCAGAGTTGTCCCCATCTCCATGTTCCCACATCCCCATCCCATGTGGAATGTCCCAGTTCTGTCCCCATTTCCCTGTCCCAAGCAGGACACCCCAGAGCTGTCCCTATTTCCATGTTCCTACATCCCCATCCTATGCAGGATGTCCCAGTTCTGTCCCCATCTCCCTGTCCCAATCAGGGCAATCCAGAGCTGTCCCCATATGGGACGTCCCAGTTCCGTCCCCATCTCCCTGTCCCAAGCAGGACATCCCAGAGCTGTCCCCATCTCCATGTCCCCACATCCCCATCCCATATGGGATGTCCCTGTTCTGTCCCCATGGCTCTGTCCCAGGCAGGACATCCCAGTTCCATCCCCATGTCCCTGTCCCAAGCATGGTGACCCAGAGCTGTCCCCATATGGGATGTCCCAGTTCCATCCCCATCTCCCTGTCCCAAACAGGACATCCCAGAGCT